TGCTCACCTGCCTGCCTGCATAATTGCTCCAAACCCCTCTGACTGCCTACCTGATCTCCCCTAACCTCTCTGCCTGCCTATCTTATCACCACTAAATGCCCTCCCCTGCTAGCCTGATCTTGCCTATAATGGACATCTCTTGCCAGCCTGATCACCCCAAACTGCTCTCCCCTGCTGCCCTGATCTCTCTCCCAACTGCCCTCCCATGCCAACCTGATCTCATCTTCAACTTCCCTCCCCCTGCCATCCAATTTGGTTCTGATTGGTCAGTTTCTATGCCAGTCGGTGTCTCTGGAGAGAAATGGGGCCTGATCAGAAAGGTGGGGCTGATCACCAGCCCCATTGTAGGCCTGGAGAGAAATGGAGGCAGAGCTGCTGGACAGACCTGGAGAGAAAGAGAGAGGCAAGTGCTGATCAACAGCTGCCACAGAGGTTATGGATCAGACCCTGCTTCTCTCTTCAGGTCCAATTCACAGCCCCCTCAGGAGTCAGTGCTGGGTCATTGCACCTGCAGCTGTAAAAGTCAGTATTGGCTTGCCACAGCAACCTAGTGCTGACTGCAAGACTGACTTCCGGTTGTTTGAGCCTCCAGTCATAGTGGATGTGATAAACCAAGGGTTTTTATATATTAGGTTTATTCTACCAATATGGGAAAATAAAACAATTGCGTGCCTACTCTTAAACATAGAAAAAACTTGAAATAAGTATTTTAGTTTTATGCTCTTTTTCTGGGAAGTACCAGTATATGTAATATTTTTCTCCTTTTTAAATGTCTTCTATTTTTATATGCTTCAAGAAAATAGACTAGCAAGTATGTAGTAGTAAAGTACTGTACAAACTTAAACCTAATATTTAGAACATATTATTCATTTGTAAAAAAATACCAAAATCAGACATTAGACTATAATAGCTTAAAGGGCATGAAAAAAAAAAAAAAAAAAAAAAACTAAATGAAGCCCCCAAGAAAATTTTTAAAAAATATCTAAAACATAGCAATTAATGCTAGACTCTAGGCAAAACTTCAGCTTTCCTGATTTGAAGGGTTGTGCTTTTGCAACCCAAATGCAAAATCTAGTCTTTTGTTTATTAATAAAATTTCTAATTTCGTATTATTTTTATTATCTTTCTTATTCAAGAATGTCAGTGATGGTTTTTGGTATAGTAGAAAGATATATCTATCTATAATAATAAAAGTGTAATATGCAAATTAGACCGGACAGCTGAATGACCTTCTGAACATCATTCCAAACATCCTTCCAGATAACCTTCTTGATAAAGCCATGGCAGTGTGGGCTGAGGCCAAGGCATTTAGGGGTGATCAGGCAGGCAGGTGAGAAGTTAAGGGGAATCAGGAAGGCAGGCAGAGTGGTTAGGGGTGATCAGGCAAGCAGGTGAGCAGTTAGGGGCAATAAGGCAGGCAAGCAGAGGTGCTAGGGGTGATGAGGCAGGCAGATAGGAAGGCGGTTAGGAGCCATCGGTCTTGTTAGGAGCAGGCAGTCAAACAACTCCTGAGAAGTCCCGGATTACAAGAGGGTACGGGTCAGGCTGAGGGACCACGACCCCATGCATGAATTTCATGCACCGGGCCTCTAGTATATATATATATATATATAAAAGGGTACAGCAACCATTATGAAGAAACGACCAGAATGACTGGAACAACCAATCACTATAATGAATACTGGCCACAAGGAAGCAGACGCTCAATGCAGGAATTGCCTCCTGGTGGTCAGTGTGCTACCACAGCCAACTTCCCACATCCAAGGGCTGGCCTACCTCCCATGGTCCCTCCCCTTGGCCAGTCCCTTCCCCTGGCTAAGGCTCTGGGCACAGGAGAATATGGGTCTGAGAAGCCTGTGAAAGGAGAGCAATCCTGACACTGATCTAGACAGAGTAGCAGCTCAGATGGGGCAGAAGGGGCAGGGCAGCAGCCTGATTGCAAAGACATAAAGTAAGCTCCACTGCCATCTTACCTCTGCCACCACACTGTGCTGCTCACCCTTCTTCCCCCATCAGACACTTCTAGCTCAGCCCTGCACCTTTCCAGGCTCCCAACTGCTGATTGACTAGAGCTCCTATGGCAGTGTGCCACCATTGGCTGAAGTCAGCTATCTATCATGCATGGGGGTACAGCACCGAGAAAATGTGTAGCTGAGATAGGAGAGATGACTTGTTTGTTTGTCAGCAACTCCACCTCAGGGACAGTGAGGCTGCCTGAGCACAGGCAGTGAAGAAGAGCTGTATTTCCACCTCAGAGTGTGCTGGTGTTCAGGCCTTTGGGGAGCTCTATCTGTGGTTTTTGCTTTCCACTACTTCAGCACATCTACACAACTAGATCAGGGCCTGCCAGGCAACCTCTGTGGTCTCACCCTCCTCTCCCTCATGGTGCACAAATTTGCACACCGGGCCTTAGTCCAGTATATCCTATCTAATAAAGGGGTATGCTAATTGACCCTCACACCCTTGCAAAGATGGCACCACCCAGAGCCAATAAGGAGGGAATATGCTAATTGACTGCCCTACCCTCAAATATGGCGGTGCCCACAGCCACAAGATGGCAGTGCCCAATCCTTTCAGCCCCACCTGGGCTGCAGGCACATGACTTCTGGAGTTGCCCAGTTCCCTCAGCCCCCTAGCCTCCCAGGGTTACCCCAAGGTGCAGGCAAGCCTCGTATGGCAGCTGCCCAGCTGCCCAAGGCTCAGGTAACCAGGGCAGGCAGAGGCTTTCATTGTCAGCAGTATCAGCAGCAGAGGTGGGATGGGTGTCACCTTTTGCTGATCACTTGGTCACCTTCTGCCCCTGAGGGCTCCTGGACTGTGAGATGGGGCAGGCCAGCATGAGGGAACCCCTTCCAGGGCATGAATTTTCATGCACTGGGCCTCTAATATATATATTACTCTTCAGTAAAGAGATATCAGTTTGATATCTTGTTTACATCCTGGTAGCAAAACACTGTCTTTTTACTTATGCATCCCAAGGATCTTCCTGCATACCTACAAGTTATCTTTTAGATATTACCAATAATTTCAATCAAAAGAATAAAATGATGTATTTCTTAGGAATTCAGGTGTATTTGTTTACTAGTCACCATAACAAAATAGCACTGACTGGGTAATTTAAACAATAGAAATTTATTTTTTCACAATTCTGTATACTAGAAGTCTGAGATCAAGATGTCAATAGGGCTAGATTATTCTGAGGGTTTTCTTCTTGGCTTGTAGACATCAATCTTCTCACTTTGTCCTCACAAGATCTGTTCTTTGAGCCTTCTTATAAAGGACATTAGTCCTACTGGATTACTATCCACCCTACTATTCTCACTTTAACTTAATTATCTCTTTAAAGATCCCCACCTCCAAAAACAGGGCTGGGCAAAAGTTGGTTAATTTATCAGCCATTATTAACTAACAGATAAATCATAAGTAAGGATACAAAATAATGTTAACAAGAAGACAAATAATACAAATAAATAACATAATAACTAATAAATAAATAATAATACAAAAATACATTCTGTGTTTCACATACTCACAATGGTAAACCTGTTTTTGCCCACTCCTGTATGGTTACATTCTGACATACTGGGAGTCAGGATTGCAACATTTAAAGATGGGGGTGTACAATTCAGCCCAGAACATCAGTTGTTGTTGTTGTTTTTTTTTTGTTTTTTTTTTTAAAAACAAACACTGTTCATTGACACAAGAATACTCTATTTTTTAATTAATGGTGGGGGTAACCTCTCCAGCCTCTGTTGTAGGTGAGCAGTAAGGAGTGAGGGGGTCCCGGATTGTGAGAGCTCCAGGCTGTGAGAACCCTGGACTGTGAGAGGGATGTCTGATTTATGATTTAGGCCTAATCCCCGGGAGACCGGGCCTAAGGCAGCAGGTGGACATCCCTCCAGGGGTCCCAGACTGCAAGAGGGCTCAGGCTGGGCTGAGGGAACCCCTCCCCCCCATCCCACTTCCAGTGCATGAATTTCATCTACCTGGCTTCTAGTATGTGTATACATTGGTAGGCACATTATACTAGCCTCTTCTTTCAGTTAGAGTTTTGCATGCAAACACATTGATCTTCTGGGTCTCTCCTACCACACAGCATTTGTGGAAGGAGAGGCTCCCAAGAGAAAAGCAATTTTACCTCATCCACTGCTGTAACACACAGCGGGTGTTAATTACTTTGTTATTTCAATTGATCAAAATGTCCCTAATGCTACAGTGACTCTGGGCACACTTACCAATGTGCTATTTTCCCCCTATTTATTTAAAAACCTTGCTTCAAGTGTCTATTTGTTCAGCCAAAATTCTGTGTTCCAAATTGTTACTGGCTCATTCTTAGCAGAACATGAAGCGAATTCCCCAAATTGACACACAGACATGGATTCAGGACACTAGCTTCAGTGAGAATATAAGAGGAAGTTGTGTTTATTTTGTCACAGGACAAAAATCATACCATAGTAATCCCTAGAATTTGCTCCATACAAATTGCTGCCATTTTAACATATTGTGGACTAAGATGCAAAGGCTTCAATTTTCTAAGTAGTGCTTGTGTGTGTCCTGTTCAAGAGCTCACCCAATAGAGCTGATTTGAAGCTCTTTGGAATGTTTGCAATTTAAATGTACAAACAATGGCTAGGGGGGAGGGGGAGGCGGAGGCAGCTGCTCAGTAGAAAATGCTGTCATTGCTGCTGCTTTTATCCAGGAAACAAAATGCTTTTGGTTGATAGTTTGCCCACTTTAATCTTGGATAAGATCAAATGAAGCTGTGAAAATTCTGTTCAAGTCATTTGAATACAAACCAATTAAAACTGAGGTCTAATACAATGTGTCCTAGAAGAGATGAGTCTAGGGTTCCTTCTCCTACCTGCCTCTGCCACCTAGAAGTCTGCTATTCCTGAGTCTCACTAGGCTCATGCATCCAACTGTGGTCAGAAACCATCTGGTGACTACACAGTGCTTTACAATTTAGAAAACAATATATATTGCATGCTTACAGCTCACTTTAACCAGAAACAGGGAAGATTTATTAGTACTATCCTTTATCACATGAAGATCCTGATGTTTAAAAGCGTAACTCACTCACAGCCAGGATGAGAAGAGAAAAACACTTGCTCCTGAAGGTAGATGGGTAAAACAGATGTGCTTTTGCTCTTTTCTCCTGCTTGTGATCTATGGTTTTATTAAAAAATAATGTCCAACTTTTGGAACGTTTGTAACAACCAGCAAAAAATACTGAAGCCAAATAGCATTTTCCCATACTAAAGATATCCAAGGATAACATAAATAATTTATATCTCCAGACAATACAAATTCTATTCTGCCACTACATAATTTTATTTGAACAAACAAAATAATATGTGTGAAATTATCTGCAGTGTCTACTTTCTATAAGTGATCAATATATGTTGGTTGAATCTAAAACTATTAAACCTATTTTTTTTCTCTTGAGTTTCTTGTGTCTGTTTTTTGTTTGTTTTTCCTCCAGAATTCTTCTGTTTTTGGTGTGCTTCATGACTCACTACTGGAGGCTATAGCAGAAGCCAGGAATGGAAGCAGCTTTTGGTGGAACCTATTCTCAGGATTAGGACAAGAAATGGCTTCCAGAGCTATGTGTAGAACATTCTCAATTCCAAGAAATATTACTGAAAATCTAGACAGAAACCTCAGGTCTTAGGCTAAGTAAATACTCTTTTAGTAGTGTCTTAAGATGAACTATCTGACCAAATCTCATTGTTTTTGACATGTCAATATATTTACATGCTTTCTTGTAAGAAATTTTATGGCAGGATCTATTAATTTTTATATTTTTTCTCTTTCCAACTAAAGCATGTGGCAAAGGGAGTGCAAAGAATCGTACAGAGAAAGAAAATGGGTTTTGAGTTCAAGTTAAAAACTTGAATTTAGAATATTGGGGATTTTGACTCATGTGTAATCCAAAGAGTCAAAGCAGATGATTTTGAGTTCTTATAATGTATAAGAACTATATATATGTTAGTTTGTATGTCAAACAAATCCTAATTAGTTTGTCTTTACAACCTTGTTTTCCTTTTGGGCGCACAGATATATAATATTTTAAAGCATCATTTGAAGTTTATGTGGCCATATATGTAAGAGTTATGACCAAGGGAATGGATAGAAAGTGACAGACATTACTTTTGCTCTCATAAAACAATCCCATACAAACACCTGTATCATCTGGTTAGATGTTAATGTCTGGAGTAATTCTGGAAGCTATGTCTTGAAAAATGACAGAGAATAGACTGTCAGTGATGGGGAGCTTGGGGGGCTAAGTGAAATAGGTGAGGTATTAAGCAAACTACAACAACTCAAAGACACAGACATCATATGATGATTACCAAAGGGAAAGGGGCATAGGGCAGGTAAAAGAAGATAATGGGGGATAGTGGTGACTAGACTTTGAGAAGTGAGCATGTAATACAAAATACAGATGATGAATTATACAGCTGTACACTTGAAATTTATATAATTTTATTAACCAATGCATCCCCAATAAATTCAATAAACACATTTTTAAAAAGAAGAGAAAAATTATAGTCTTCAATAGCTTAGATTCCTGAATAACCACTTGGAACAAAGTCAACATGCCTATTCTAGTAACCAATGGACTTTCACTAAGTAAAAATGAAAGCTCTGTTGTGCTAATGAAAATATATACAGGGTTGGGCAAAGGTGATTAACAGTTGTTCTTAGGAAAATAATATAAAATCTTACCTAATAAAAGAGAAACATGCAAATTATCCATCACTCCTCTATGCCCACAGCCAACCAGAGTGAATATGCAAATTAACTTAACAAAGATGGATATTGATTTGCATATATGCAGGCATGGAGTGGCATGAAGCCTGTCATGAGGGGAAGGGGACGGCAAAGGAAGCTACTGGAGTGGTGCTTCAGACAGAAGCAAGGACTTGCTGGCTCCAGGCTGCCCAGGAGCAGGAACTTGCAAGCTCCTGTTGGGGGGGGGGTGGGGGTGGGGGAAGAGAATGCGTGGGCTGGGAAGTAGGGCCTGGGAATGAAGCCAGGGGAAGGAAGGCCTATTCTTGAGGAAAATCATGCAATGGGCCTCTAGTTAATAAATCATAATACAAGAATAAACTCTTGGCATATTCACAATGGTAAATCTACTTTTGCCTCAGCCTGTATATATTTGAACCAGAAGTTATACATCTAGTCAATAAAGTGTTATTATAAAATACTAGAGACCCAGTGCATGAAATTCATGCATGGGTGGGGGTGTCCTTTAGCCTGGCCTGCGCCCTCTCACAATCTGGGACCTCTTGGGGTTATGTTCCTCTGGCAATCCTGGATTGCTGGCTCCTAATCACTGGCCTATCTGCCTGCCTGATCACCCCTAGCTTCTTGCTTGCCTGCCTGATTGCCCCTAACTGCTCTTATGTTTGCCTGATCACCCCTAACCCTTCTGCCTGCCTGATTGCCCCTAATCACTTTCCTGCCTGCCTGATTGCCCCTAACCCCTCTGTCTGCCTGCTTGATCACCCCTAACTACTCATCTGCCTGCCTTATCACCCCTAACGCTTGCTTGCCTGCCTGATTGCCCCTAATCACTCACCTACCTGTCTGATTGCCCCTAACCACTTGCCTGCCTGCCTCATCATCCTTAACCACCTTTACCTTGGCCCCTGCTGTTGCAGCTTCATCTGAAAGGTTGTTTGGCTGTCTAGTCAAATTAGCATGTTATGCTTTTTTATTATAGATTATCCAATATCATTTTCTTCTAATATCCGTGGTTATTTTCGGCCTTTCTGCATTGGGAGCACACTTTTTAATACTAAAATTCTTAGTAGTATACTTGGAACAATTAAAGGACCCCCAAAAGATACAGTCATCAATAATTATAGTACAATAGCTCATGCAATATTACAGTGTCCTATCACCTATAAAATCATCCAGTTTTTGGTTAGTTAGACAAACTTTAGCCTGGTATGGTTATTTGTATCATCCTGACTACTGCCCTGATCTTGCTGTCATAGTTTTCCAGGAAGCAAGTTATTGTGCATTCTGATAATCATTTGAACTATTTTTTAACTCATATTCAAAGCCTGTTGTACTGTACACATTATAATGCCATATCTACTCTGCAGCACTGTGGATATTTTGAATGTTGTTTATAGACTCTCATATACAGCAAAAATATAATTTTCATATTAATAATTTGGCCTCACCCCCTTTCCAAATTATATTCATTGTGGGTCAAGGGCCTGGGTCCTTTAAGGAAACCCTTACTGACTTTGTAAAGCCAGTGATGCACACAAGGAATTCAATGTGGGAATGGCAACTTCCAGCAGTGTTGATTATTTCAAGACATGGGTCACATGCTGCAGCAGAGGTGATCAGAGTGGTTCTCGTTCATTCCACACCACGTTGATCAAAAGATTAGCTCCAGCATCCTCTCAGCTCTGCCAATTTGCTTTAGTTTGCAATTGCTTTCATATTTTCTTTGAGCCTTTATCTTTTATCTTTCATCATATTTTGTGCTGTTTCTTTTATCTTGAACACTTAACTTATAGATCCCAATACGTGCTTATCACTCTAGAGTGCCTTGCACAGAATCTGAACAAATTAGGAGCTAAACAAATGTTGATCTGTTATCTTCTCATGTGAATATAACTAAGATTACCACCCTTGACACCTGAGCTGTGGTTTTCATAGCACATTCACATACCTTGCCTACCATTACTATGTAAAATCAGAGGGGCAAAGTTCTTATTTACAGATGAAGGAACAACAGCTAAGAAAGACCAATCACTTTCCCACATTTCCATGGAAAACTGGTGGCAGTTTTGAAAATAAATAAATTCTTTCATAATTTCTAATTTAGAGTACATTATATTGAATAACATACAACAATTATAATGTTCACAATGTTCTGATGATGATAAGGAAATAATTTATTCTGAATGGGCCATAATCATATTGGTATCTTAAAGATATCCTCAAGAATAAACATGGTCAATAAAATGGTCATTTGAGCAATTTTGAATGAGTACTATTTATGAATAAAACTGATTATGAATAAAACTTGATCAAACAAATGCAATATTTGGCCATGATGAGTAGGAGAGCAATGGTTGCTTTAGTCAAAATCACAACTTTTCACCCAGATGTTTAAATGAATCTTTATATACGTGTAGAAAGGTCTTTGGAATCTAAAACTGAGAAGGTTTAAGATGGGAGGGAATCCTGAGAGAACATGAGGTATGAAAGATATTTCAAGTAAATTATAGATTACTTGACAGAGACTAGCAGCTAGCTACCCAAGAATTTTTTACCTTTCTTTTGGATCTAAAGCTAAACTAAGTCTCCAAATCTTATATGCAGTTAGAAGTATTCATATGAATTAGGGCCCTCAAATGGAAGATAAATAGGAGTGGTATATAGCACATCTAGGTCTGTCTCGTCCATAAATTTAGTGATTGTGTTTCACCATGAATTATTCCTATAAGAGTAACCACAGGACAGAAGGAGGTTGGGTCCCTGAACAATTCTATCATCCTGACTACTTCCATATCCCAGTTCCTTTGTTACTTTACCCTAGTTTATCCTAATGCAAGTGACCAACAGAAAATATATAAAGTAGTAATAAAGATAAGGAAAAAAATCTGAGTCAATTATTGATACCTTTGTGGCATTCATTCACAGAAAAAAATTGACTTTCAAAAGGAAATTTGTTAAGTTTCCAAAACTCAAGGAAGAATAAAAATACCTGAATAGGTCAATAACTATTCATGAAATTGAAACAGTTTTCAAAAAGCTTCCAGCAAAAAAAAAAGCCCTGGACTGGACGACTTCACAGGGGAGTTTTGCCAAATATTCAAAAATTAAAACCTATCCTCCTCAGACTATTCCAAAAAATTCAAGAAGGCATACGTCCAAGCTCTTTCTCTGAAGCCGGCATTCCCTAATCACAAAACCAGTTAAAAGCACTACAAAGAAAGAGAATGATTGGCCAATATATCTGATGAACACAGATGCCAAAATTCTCAACAAAATTCTAGCAAACTGGATCCAGCATTACATTAGAAAGATCATACACCATGATCAAGTGGGATTTATTCTAGGAATGCAAAGCTGGTACAATATCCACAAATCAATAAACATGATGCATCACATAAACAAATGGAAAGACAGAATTCACATAATCATATCAATTGATGCAGAAAAGGCATTTGACAAAATCCAACACTTTTTTCTGATAAAAAAAAAAAATCTCAGCAAAGGGGGAATAGAAAAATCAGACCTCAACATAACAAAAACATTACATGACAAACCTACAGCCAATATCCTACTCAATCGGCAAAAACTAAAACCATTTTCCATAAGAACAGTAACAAGACAGGGATGCTCACTCTCACCACTTCTATTCAACATAGTACTGGAAGTGCTAGCCATAGCAATCAGAGAAGAAGAAATAAAAGGCATCCAAATTGGAAAAGAAGAAATAAAATTGTCATTATTCACAGATGACATGATATTTTACATCAAAAACCCTAAAGACTCCATCAAAAAATTATCAGACAAAAATAAATGAATTTGGCAATGTAGCAGGATACAAAATTAACACCCAGAAATCTATGTGTGTGTGTGTGTGTTTTTTATACACCAATAGTGAGCTCACAGAAAGAGAA